CCGCAAAACGTGCCATTTGGCGCGCGGATGCGCTCAAATTTTCAATCCAGTATCTGCGTCATACGGCGCGGTGCGGGAACTTTCGCAAAAACATGAGACCAGACCGACGGAGCCGTGCTCTGACGACTGCAAGGAAACAGTAAAGAGGGGCAGCACGGGCAGGAGGAGGGGAAGACTACTGCAACGGAACCCAAGCCCAAGCGAAGCGGCGCTGCTCCCACACAACATCGCTCCATGCGAAACAACGCCTGCCACGCGATGGGCGCTGACGAAAACCCGTGTCCCAAAAAGAAACGCACGACATATGCAACTGCAAGCCGGACGGCCTTGGGCAATGAGATGTCACGGGTGCCATCCGAATAACGAGGCACCAAAACCAACAACTCGACAATGACCCCGCTGCCGAATGGTGCGTCCAAGCGGCAGAACGGGGAGCCGAACTCCCGAACAACCAGACAAAAGGCGTTGTGCTCGATGCTGTCCTCGCAACCGCAACCCCCTGGAAACGCCATCGCGTGACCCAGCCGTTCCACTTATGTCCGGAGGGCGGCTGCCCGAACCTGGAATGCCAGTCGCGCCTTCTCTGCCCGGACCCGTTGAAACACACGCGCGCACGTAGTATAGCGCGCCAGACGTCGTCGCATGACCTCGCGCAAGGTAGCGTAGGCGGGTAGCGTACAGCGGTCTACCCCAAGATGACCCCCTGGACTTGCGGAGGCGATACGCCCGCGTGCTCGACCTGGTCCATGGCGAAAGCCAACTCCAGTAGGAAGGCAGCCTTCTCCAAGAAGCCCCCGCACGAGGACGCAGCACGGCAGAGGGCGCGAGCGCGAACTTGGACGTCCATCGCCACCCTCTATCTCGACGCCAGCGAATAATCGTTCAGGTCGACGAGGGTCCCCCTCCCTCGAAACCCAGTCACTGCAACGCCCGCACTGCCGGAACATACGCCCAGCATCCTGGCCCAGGAAACACTTCTAGCCGCTGATGATGGGCTCCAGGACACTCAAGTCAACGATGCCTGCCCAGGAAATCACGGCGAAGTCACTGGCGTACGCCCGCAGAACCGCTGACGAGAGAAACTGGACCAATTAGCGAAACAAGAGATCTGCCGCACCTGCAGTAAGCAGTGGTGCTGGTGTCGGCTTTCCGACAATGCCGGTATTGAAAGGTCGGTATCGGCACCAAGGCGCCACAGGAAAAATTGGAAACACTTTCCCTGTGAATGCTGGCTTGGCGAGCGGACCCCCTAAAGCCCGAGGGCACGCCAGGGCCGCCAATCATCGCAGACCCCATTGAGCCCAAAATCCACGTATCAAGACTCGTGGAGACCGTGGGGCCCGAGGCCTGGTATTGCTCATTGGTCTCATGAGGCTCACTGGAAGGAAAAAGGGGGAGGGCCCGCGGCGTCCTGCATCTCGGCTCGACAAGCTCATTGAAAACGGACAGGCGAGAGCGAAGACACGGACGAAGGATATCTTCCTTTCCAGGACGATCTTGACGCTGGTGTCAGGTTCCGGTGCGCCGAGACGACGCGTCGCCGCGATCGTGATCTCGGGTCCGATGCTGCATGAGTCCAGGGTGCGCTCGTCACGAAAGATCTGCGTCGGGTCGCCCAGCACCACGCGAGGCCAAGCCACCCCCTCGTCCTTACATTAGACGCCTTGAGACGTAGCGCAGCCGCCGCCAACCGCTCCACCATCTCGCGGGGCGGACTCGAAATCAAGTTCTTCGCGAGACACGTAACCGTTGGTTGTCTCCACGGCCGAAGCAAATTCCCAGCCCTCGCTGATGGTGCCCCCGCCACGCGGATCGGCAGCCGTCTCCGCAGCGGCGACAGGCTCGCCGCTCCTTCGACGTCGACAAACGAGCCGCTCCCGCCAGTTTCCCGAACGGAGCACGGCGGCGGCGCCGCGCAGATCAGATGGCCCAGACGGCACGTCGGGCACCCCGCAAGGGACGGTATCGCATGGCCGCGGGTGGGATACTGGCGTGCCCGTGAGGTTGTGAGATCCGCAAGCTTCATCATTAACTCAAGTCTTGGAGCAACCAGAACGGCGGCGGCACCCTCGTGCAAAGGAGCCCCGTGAACGCACGACATCCAGACTCGCTCTCCGATAGTCACCATCCTCTGCAAATCACACCAAAATCGCGTTTCGAGGCCACAACCGTTTTTGTAAGTTACAACTTGCTCGCGTTCCCCAAGTCCCAAGCCATATTCCTACTTAATACGCCATGCTCGCGCTTCCCAAGCCACAAACCGTTTACAACTATGCCAGTCTAGCGCCTGAAAAAAATACAAGCCCTAATAAATTACACCTAACTCGTGCTCCCCAGGCCACAATCCCTCGCAAATTACGCCAAGGTCACGCTCCCCAGAACAACCGCTTGCAAATTGCACCTGCACCAAACTCATGTTCCCCACGCCACAATCGCTCGCACATTATGCCAAAATCACGCTCCCCAGAACAACCTGTTACACACTGCACCTGCACCAAACTCGTGTACCCCAGGCCACAATCCCTCGCACATTACGCCAGAATCGCGCTCCCCAGAGCAACCCCTTGCAAATTGCACCAAATTCGCACTCTTGTGGCCACAACCACGGGACAACCACCGGGACAAGACCACAGGACAACCACGAGGGAACCACGGAACAGCTGTGGGGCAAACCCGGCCCCAAATCTGCCAACCCAAAGGAGGAAACTTCTTGTTCAAATTCGCCCTAGCAACGCCGGGATCTCTCCTCTCGCCCGCGCACGCAACTTCGCCTCGCCCGCACGCGCGGCACGAACATGACACCGAAGTAAATTTCCCTGTGGAGGACCTCCGTTTCACTTCGATCTCACCCCCAACCCCCGATACACCTATTAGGGGTTGTCGCTTGCTGCCGTCATACTTTTTGTAAATATGGAGCGTCCCCAGATTGCCCGGCTGGTGCCGGAGGGCCCTGAGGGGCGTATAGGTAACGTATTATGCGAGGGATGCGTCGTGGGACGTCTCTCCTAGAACTCTCGTTTTTCCCAACCCTCTTGCGGTGTTGGGTCCTCGTTCTGAAGAGACGGCGCCCCGCGTCTTCTTCCTTTCTCCTCCCTCCTCCCTCTCCCGCTCCCTCGTCCCTCCTGCCATCCCTGCATCTGCGCTCCGCATGTCTCTGTTTCGATGCATAACACGTTTGGCGGCCCCGTAGGGAGCGCCACATCAGGCCCAGGTGCAAGGGTCAACGTGCGGCTCCCCACCCAGTTCGGCAGACACACCCACGCGTTTCGCAGCCCCCAAAGGAGCTCTACCAAGGGCCTCAGTGGGAGGGTCCACATGCGGCTCCCCGCGCATTGCGGCACACCCCTCACACGTTTCGTATGCGGCTCCCACCACATTTTGGCACACACACACAGAGACCTCACACGTTTCGTGGCCCCAAGGACTTCCATCGACCCCAATGGCAAGGTTCGCATACGGCTCCCCGCTTACGTTGGCACACCCCGCACACGCTTCGTGGCCCCATTGGGAGCTCCACCGAAGGGCCCAGTGGCAGGTTTCGCATGCAACTCCCCGCCCATTTCGGCACACAATTACACACACACACACACGCGCTTCGTAGCCCCATCAAGAGCTCCACCGAAGGCCCCAGTGACAGGATCTCGGCTCCCCCCACATTTCGGCACCCCCCTCACACGTTTCGTGGCCCCATCAGGAGCTCCACCGAAGGCCCCAGCGGCAGAATTCGCATGCTGCTCCCCCACATTTCCACACCGCTCATACGTTTCGTATCCTCACGGGAAGCTCCATCGAAGGCCCCAATGGCAAGGTTCGCATGCGGCTCCCCGCCTCTTTTGGCACACCCCGCACACCCGTCGTGACCCCATTAGAAGCTCCACCAAAGGCCCCAGTGGCAGGGATCGCATGCGGCTCCCCCCCATATTGGCACACCCTCACACGTTTTGTGGCCCCATTGGGAGCTCCACCGAAACGGGTCATCATAACCGCAACACTCAAAACTGCAGGTGCTTACGCCCTTCGCCGGTCTAATTTAAATTCAGACGTGTCCCTTCCAATAGCTTCAGCCACCACAAGGGGGAGCCGACATTGTGGGGTGCCTCTAGCGGCTCGCTTGTTTTAGAAAATGGGCGCGTGCTTTTCCAGATCCTCATGAGCCTTACCATGCAATACTTTGGGCACCTGGGCACGCGAAGGTGGTACCAGTCAAGGGGCTTCACAGGCGTGACCCCAAACAGGGCGATTTGGCATTGTGTCAGGGAAAGCTATGCGGTGTAAAGCCATATGGTGCGAGCTGACGAGGTGAAGCCTATGCGGTGTAAGCCATATGGTGTGCGATGTGTCGTGTGAGCCAGGCGGTGTGAACTGGAAGTGAAAGCTATTTAATATGAGCTAGGCTGTGCAATCTATGCTGTGCCAACCATGTCCTGGAAACTATACGGTGACACATCAGACATACGTTGTTGATGCGCAGAGCCCGCCCACGAGGCGTTTACGAGGCGGCACGGGCGGCAACGTGGCGCAACCTCGGCATATCTCCGAAGCGCGTGGCGCCGACGAGACGCTCCCGAGGTGGCACGGGTCGCCACGTGGCGACACCCTTTAATACCAACCAAGCACCTTGAGGAAGGCAGGTAAGAATCCCTGAGTGCAAGCACTGTTTGGGGAATTATTCAGCGCCTGGATTCCCAGATGTACATCTCATGTTCTGACAATGTCCTCTGTGAGAACCCATAGCTGAAATCTAAGAGCGAGTCAGACTGATCATGTGCAAGCCCGAGTTATAAACACTCCTCTCTGCTCCTCTCTGCCACCGTATGATCCCTTCTCTCTGCCGCCGTATGCATCCCCCTGCCAACTTCCCCTTGTTGCACAGGAGTGATATGACTGCTACATCGCGGTGATCCGAGAATGCGGGACGACGCCACGCTGTGCATGAAATCATATATGAATGGGAAGTGTAGGAGCGACGGGCGCACTCGACAGGCTCTGTTTCTTTTGCTCCTGACTCCTGAACCCGAGGCGTCGAATTTGTCGGCGGCGGGAGCGATGCACGCGGGCGCAAGGGAGCAAAAGAGCACCCCAATCACCACCTGGCCCACCCGTCCCCAGAGTGGAGGAACCAGGTGGGGGCGGGGTATGCTTGTTCGGTCCTCTTAGCCAGGCATGCTCACAATCGGGAGCCGAAGCTCTTTGCCCCCAGCCCTGGAAGGAAGGAGGCCAGGTGGGGGTAGAAATGCGCTTTCGTTGCCCAAGGGCGCATTACGGCTGAGCCAGCCAGCTGGCTGGGCCTGATCACGGGAGCGCCACCGAGCAGTCCGCGTGTCGATTCCTCGAAGAGGCGGCCTCTTCGGCAAGAGCTCCGCGGAGCAGCTCACTCTGGAAGAAGACAAGACGGCACAAGCAGAAAACTGTCCGAGCTCCGGGCAGATGTCTTGTACCACCGCATGACTCCCCTCCCTGACGCGCGGAGCGCGGCAATGGACGCGCCGCCAGGGGGTGCAGCGCCGATCCAAGAAATCCGCGCGAAACTGCGACAGTCGATGCTCAGCTTGCTTGCTCTTCTTCGGCTGATGCTGCGACTGTCATCCATGCAGGCGACAGCCCGAACCCACTCAGCAGGTCTTTACCTCCTCGAGCCCGATGTTCGCGGGGGGAGACACGGGAGCCCAGTCGGACAGGATTCAGACCAATTCAGAGTGAGGGAGTCGAACGGTCATTCACTGTCCCTGGGTGCGTGGCTGAAGTTGGGATCCACGGCGAAGATGCTGCTTGTTTTGTTGCGTCGTCTCCCCCGCGACCCGCCCGCGACCCACACGCGACTCACCCCGCGACCCGCCCGCGACCCACCCGCGACCCTCCCGCGACCCACCCCGCGACCCACCTGCGACCCACCCGCGACCCACTCCGCGACCCTCCCGCGATCCGCCCGCGACCCATCCGCGATCCTCCCGCGACCCAGCGAACCACCCGCGAACCACCCGCGACCAAGACTAGGCGCCTGCGGCGAGCTTCTTCAGAGCCTCGCAGACTGCAGACGTTCCCGCCGCCCCCATCACTCTTATCCGCGACTGCGGGGTGCTACGTTTTCAGGTGCTGAGACTTGCAAGGCATGCCTACATTCTCGATTTCGAGGCCCAGGCAGAGGCCAGTTCGGCCGCGTTGTGTTGGGAGTAACTCAACCAAGCACTCAGCCCGCACCAGGAACAAGGAAGCCAGGCAGCATATTTCTCCGACCACGGCTGAAGAACACACGAACCCCAAAGCTTGAATCCATGTACCTGCACCGCCCAATGTACCTAGATATTTGCGCCCAGGTGTCACCAAAGTCCATGTTCACGACCTCTTCGCCATCAAATGGAGCTCGACTCCTTCCCTGGGGCCAGCAGTTGTTTACCCGGATCCAGGTGCGACGGCCCCCTGGTCCGACAGCGGGCCCCAGAGCCCACAGGCCGAGATCGAGTCGGAGATGCTGCTGGCGAGAAGAGGGTGGACGTGTGCTGTTCTCCTCAGGCTTCGCGGGGCCTGACCCCACCACCCGGGGGGGGAGGCCTGGGCTGGTGGGGCCCAGATGCCATAGCCCGATGGGTTTGGGGATCGGTTAGGCGAGGCCCACGAACCTCATGCCGAGAACCCCCCGACGTGGCCATTACCAGAGGCCTGGACCCCCTCCCCCTCGGGCCCGGCGTCTGATCCTGAGTCGCACTGTTGACGGCCCGGGTCGGACACTGCCGAAAACCTCCCGCCGTGAGAGCGTGCCGAGCTCCCCCCCGCGAGATGTGCTCGCCGCGCTCGCCCGTGCGGGCCCGCTTGCTCGGCGAGGGCCCCTCGGGCTCCTCCGACGCCTCGCAGGCGGCCAGCGGCCCGGCCGCCTCATCGGCCAGCCGAACCTCGGCGGGGGCCCTCCGAGGGTTGGCGACGCACACGAGGCAGGAGGCAACTCCTGGGAGACCTTCGTAAGAACGGTCAAAGGCTTCTGAGGCCGAGTACGGGGCCAACGAGCTGGATTGAGCGGGATGAGGCTGGAGTAGGACGTCATGCGACCGCGGATGCACCAGTGCCGATGCTAAATCGAGCCTCCCAGGAGCTGCAACCAAGCAAAGGGGTTGCGCACTGATGGCGGGGAAGCTTACAAGACGGCGATTGCCTTCTGAGGAGGGTGGGATGCTTCTGAGAAGGCATCTTGGCAGCCAGGAGGGTTTCCAAGCCCCCCTGCCTTCTTAGAAGCTCCACCGCCTTCTCAAAGGCCGCCCTCCTCGTGCCACCCTCTTGTGCACGCCGTCAAGAATGGCCTCCGAGACCCAGTCGCTCTGCCCTCTCCCTGGCCCTCCAGACCCGCCCCTCTCCCTCCGCGAGGTCGGGAGCCAGAGTGCCAGGGCAGGGGAAAGGATCGCCAGGGTCGGGTGCCGCCGAAGTGAGGCAAGCCCGAGGCAACTGCGCGGACGAGGGGGGGCATCTGAAGACGAAGAGCCGGGCATGGAATCTGGCCGTGAAATCAGAGATCCACATACACATACACACACTCACACACACACACACCGGTCCTCACCCTGGGCTTCGAGGGCACCCCCGGAAAGCTCTCGACGAGGCGTAGCTGCTGGAAAGCATCGTCTGAGGGGGAAGGATCCGGCGGGACCGCCTCAAGGGGCGAAACATCGCCCTGGGCTCGGCGATAGATCGCCAATAGCTCGACGATGGGAGCCTGATATGGAATTCGCAAGCTCCTGGACGGGGGGCGGCACCCGGGCCCCGATCGACGATCAATGGGCGATCGAGGGTCCAACGCTGCCCCTACGAAGGGGGTCCGGGGACTGGGCCATCGGTGAGCTTCGGGCGAGCGCCGCCCGCGCGGCACCTCGCCGCCGTCCAGCTCTGCGGGCTCCTCCAGCCTCGGCTTCTTCTCGGGCGGCGGGCCCTCCTCGGGAAGCTCGGGCGCCCCGCTGGGCTCCTCGGGGCGCCGGAAGCGCAAAGGCAACAGCACAGCACATCACGGCATCGGATGGCGTGCCGCAGTGGGGGAAGCCGTCAGCGCGCCCCTGCCGAAGACACACCAGGTCTTCGGACAACAACGAGAGAGTAGCACGCGGACGGGCTCCCAACGGCGGCGTGTCACTGATGCCCTCGTCCCCTCCCGAACAGGAGGGGCTGGCTCCTGGAACCGACGACACATAGCCGATAGATCGGCGATGGGCCCACGATCCCCGGCGGCTTCGGGCACATCGGATCCGATCGGCAAAAAATATGCGATTGTGGGTCGGTGCTCCCCCCCTCGCTGCCCCTGGTCGAATCGAAGCATGCGCCGGATCGGGCTGCATCGGCACGGAATCGAAATGGAGTCAGATCGGCCGCACTGGGATGCACACCAGCGCCGTTCAAACATCGGGCCGCATCGGATCACCAAACTATCGGAATCCAACCACATCGGAGAGGCCGAATCTGATGTCTGATCTCAACTCTAAGCGATCGGATCATCACGGACCTGCCGTATGGGGGTCGCCCGACGCCCAATGCCAGACGTTCGGTTTTGGTAGACGTCAACCGACCATATCGCTGGCCTTAACTGGGCCCATCCTAGGCCCAATATCTGTATTATGCTGACTCCCCCTGACGGGTTTGTATCATAGGCACTTTCAACGGAGACTGAGCAGAAAAACAGCAGCTGCATGTTCGTAAACGTTCGAAGGTCCGCGCGGCCCCCCGTCTTGGCGCGTGGTGGCGCGCTCCGCGCGCGACGACACGGGGTTCCAGCACCGACCCGAGAAACCCGTGCGGACCGCCGAACGTTTCATGCCGCTCCCAGGCATCCGACGATATGACAGATTCCATGCGCTGCCCCTGACGTCCCGATTCTTCACCGAGGCCACTTGTTCGTCCCAATCCTGGGGCCCGCAAACGGACCCGAGAGGCCAACACGAAATACAAAACACACCCAGATTGAACAATTCATGTCGTCGAAGATCTGGGCTCCTTACTCTTTCTAGATCACCCGACGTCCCCCGACGGTCTGAATCAGGCACTCTCGGCCGGGGCTGCGGGCAGGCCCTGCGCGCACCATCCCGACCCTTTCGGGTGTTGCTGAAGGTATCCCTTGCCCAGGGTGACCCCAGCCTTTCGCACCATCTTGGAGCCCCTGGGGCCCCCTGGGCCTCGTGAGGGGCGCTCTGGAGGCAGTGGAGCCTCCCTGGACATCCTGGCAACATCCGCCCCTCCGCCCCCCCACCAGCCCACGGGCCTCCAGCAGCCGCAGGTTCTCGGGCCGCACGGCCTTTGCGCCGCTCGCCTGCGGGAAGAAGACCTGCCAGAGACCCCGGGCCTGGGAGTACATCCCGAGGCGGCCGACCTCGGCGGCGTGCAAACGAGGGGGGGGGGGGGACAGCGCACTGGGAGGCCGATAGCGGGGAGCTCTGTCGGACCCCTCTATCGGGGATCCACGGGCGATTGTTGGTCGATCCATCCCCTTTTCCCCCCTGAGCCCACCCCCCCTGGACGCTGCCCCGACACATGGGGGCGGCCTCCTCCTGCGAAGGCGGGAGAGCCTCCCAAACTCCCCAAAAAGGCGAAGGGGGGGCCTTCTCCGAAGGGCCCGGGGGGCTTCCCGGAGGCCCAGACGGAGGCCGCCCAGCCTTCTCCTGGAGGCGGCCCCCCTCGCGCCACCCCCCCCCTCTTGCGCGCGCCGCCAACGACCACGCCGTTCATGCCGGCGGAGCCGAAGCCGGAGAGCCGGACGAGCATGCCGGGCGTGAGGTCGCCGTGCGGCGCGTGGTCCGCGCCGCCGGCCTCGCCGTGGGCGTTACGCTGCTCTGAGCTCGAGGGTGATTAGTTCGGAAGCACCTCGCGGGAGGCCTTCGCGGGAACGGCGAGTAGGACTATTACGCCCGGCACCATTACGTCGAAGTAGTACCGAATAAGGCAAGATGAAACGGTTCAAACGGCAGTACCCAGATGAGGACGGGTTTCGACCACGGACATACCATCGCCGATGCTGAATTCAGACGTCCAGGAAGTGCAACCGACCTAAGGAGTACAAAGCTGACGATTGAGGCGACAACGCCCTGACCATCGACTGCTCAGGCCCAAGCTGGATGGAATCGCGAAATCGGGTCGGAATTGGATCGGATCGCGCCCGAATCGGCGCAAAATCGGATCGGAAGCAGATCGTTTGGGATCGGGGATCGGCGAGACTCAGTTCGCATCGGTTCGGACCGGAATCGAAAACAATTCACAATATGGGGATCAAACCGGATCGAATCGGACCTCCAGCAGCCCTGCTCTTACGCGGAAATGCGCAGACAACCGAAAAACGGGTGCGCGTGACGACGGCGCGCGAATGAACTAAAGCGGAAAGCGGGGAGGCGTAGATGTCGACGTGCAGTTTTGGCTGCGGCAATGTGCAGCGCGAGGCGCACTTCAAGAGATTCGCGCGGCCCTTCGACTTGTATGCCTATGCAGTGTTCTTAGTTCTTCGAACATGGTTGGGGGCTCCCAGAACGGGGCGGTGCGGTGACCTCGAACTCCCCGAAGTGCTGGTCCTGTTTTCCACCACCACCACCACCACCATGAGCTGGAGAGGGAGGGGTCCTCCTCCTCCTCCTCCTGCTCCTCCTCTTCGTTTCGTCCTCCTCCTCCTCCTCCTCCTCACCCCCATGCAGCGTATGGTGGTGGTGGTGGTGGAAATCAGGCCCATCACAAAGACCTCACCGTACGGTTTCGGTGCCCTGGAGTCCCCAATCACCCGAGACATCCTCGGGGAGCGACCCGAGTCCCTACACCGTACGGCCACCCTGACTCCCCTCCGACTCGCGCGTCACGCTGTGGTGGCCATCGCACCGCCGAGGGATCCATCGACGAGAACACAAAGAGCCCCGCCGAGAGCGCACCGGGGAGGGGGGGCCTCCCGCTCCCCCGCGGGGACCGGATCGGCCGAGCTGGCGGGGCCTGCCTCGGCCGCGGCATCGGCCTGCTCCGCCTCCTGCGCGTGGCCGCCCTCGGCGGCCTCGGGGCCCTTTGCCTTTTCGGGCGGACGAAGAATGGAACGTCATAAACCAGGACGAGACTGATGCATTGATGCGATTGGCTCAGGATGCGCTTCCAGGGGTTCAGGAGTATCTAGCAGCTCTCTATTTGAAAGACCGCGCGGAACAGTGAGAAAACTGGGACATCTTCGAACGTATCATTATCATTACCTCTTGCTCTTCTGACCAACCGTTCCCATCCGTCGAGGACGCCCGTCCCAGGTGGTGCGTAAGGCTTCGGGCTGCGCACAGATACCAGTCCTCCCCAGGCAGTCCAGGCTGGCTTCAACTGGCCTCCCGAACAACCCTGAAAGTCATCAGACCCCCCCGCAATAGAGGGTAACTATTTTCCTGTCGCCTTACTAAAGGACGGGGGACGCACCAGTACGGGGAAACTCGTAATTACTGTTCTGCAGCACCCGCCGCGCACCAACGACGACGACAACTACGACTACGATTTCGACGATGAGCACGACGAATATTACTACTTCTGCTTCAGGGGCACTCTCACGAAACATCCAACCTCAGCAACTCGACTCTCAAAGTTTGATCCTCAGAAGCTCTATCCTCAGAAGGGCTGTTGAAGCTGAGGCCCCACAACGGCCCGCAGAAACTCCATCCTCAGAAAACCCATCTTCAGAAAGATTGTGAATAGGCTTTGCCTTCGACGAAGAATGTGTCGATCTATATTGCAGACCTCATATCAACGTGCTCCAAATTCCTCTGTCGTGCAAAGCAGCGCACGGGGCAGAATTCGCTGGGCAGACGAAGCCCCAAACAATATCCAGACCGCCAATCAATGCCCAGCCCGCCAAACATTATCAAGCCCGCCCGCAGCAAGGACGACGACGCTTGCGACTACGACTGCAAACGCGACGGCGATTTCAATCACGACGCGTAGAGGTGTGACTGTAGTAATGATAATAGTAGTAGCAGTAGTGGTAACTAATAGTAGCAGTCGTAAACATTAGCATTAGTAGTAGGGTGGGGAGTAGCCGTAGTAGTTGTAATAGTAGCCGTAGTGTAGTGCTTTTAGTAGTAGTAGTAGTAGTAGTAGTAGTAGTAGTAGTAGTAGTAGTAGTAGTAGGTAGTAGTAATAGTAGTAGTAGTAGTAGTAGTAGTAGTAGCCGTAGTCGTAGTAGTAGTACTAGTAGTAGTAGTAGTAGTAGTAGTAGTAGTGGTGGTAATGGTGGTGGTAGTCGTAGTAGTAGTCGGAGGGTGATAATAATAGTAGTTGAAGTGGTAGTAGAAGTGGTAATGCGAATGGTAAGAGTAGTCGTAATAATCGTGGAAGTACGTAGTAATAGTAGTAGTAGTAGTAATAGTAAAACTAGTAGTACTAGTAGTAGTAGTAGTAGTAGTAGTAGTAGTAGTAGTAGTAGTAGTAGTGGTATGAGTAGTAGTAGTAGTCGCCGTAAGACTCATGATAATACGGCTAGAAATGGTCGCGCACGCAATAATAAAAACAATAGCGAAAATAACCGTAATAGATGGTAGCACTAATAGTCGTGGTAGTAGCCGTAGTAGTAGTAGTGGTAGTAGTAGTAGTAGTAGTAATAGTAGTAGTAGTAGTAGTAGTCGTAGTCGTAGTAGTAGTAGTAGTAGTAGTAGCAGTAGTAGTGGTGGTAGTAGTAGTAATAGTATTAGTCGCAGTCGTAGTCGTAGTCGTAGTAGTAGTAGTAGTAGTAGTAGTAGTAGTAGTAGTAGTAGTGGCAGTAGTAGTAGTAGTAGTAGTAGTAGTAGTAGTGGCAGTAGTAGTAGTAGTAGTAGTAGTAGTAGTAGTAGTAGTGGTGGTCGGAGTGACAGTAATATGTGTAGGAGTAGGAGGCGGAGGAAGAGGAGGAGCAGGAGTAGGAGTAGGAGTGGTTCAAAAGTCGTAGTCGTAGTCGTGGTCGTGGCCGTAGTGGTAGTCGTGGTTTGTATATTCGTTCGGGCAAGCAGAAAAACACTACTACCAGCAGTAGAAGCAGCACTGATATGGAAAGTACAAAACTTAATCAACATTGGTACTAGAAGTCGTAGTCGTAGTAATAAGTATAGTAGCGGCCGTACGTGTAGCAGTAGTCACAATCGTAGAGAAGCTGCCCCTTGTAGCAGCAGTCGCAATAGAAATGATAGGAGTATGGGTAGTAGGAGTCGTAGTAGTAGCCGTCGTAGTACCACTAGGGGTAGCGGTAGTACTAAGAATACGGATGATGGTGATATAACTTGGAATGGCCATGGTAACCGTAGTGCCCGTAAAAGTCGCAGCAACACTTGCAGGAATGGTGTTAGTGAAAGCCGTAACCGCAATAATAACAACGATCGTAATAACAATTGTAGTCGTAGTAGCAGTCGGAAAAAATGGTAGCTGCCGCAGCAATAGCAGAAAAAAGAGAAATTAACTCGATTGGAAAATAAGACCGGTATGAATATGAGTAGTAGTAATAGAAGTAGTAGTAGTAGTAGTAGTAGTAGTAGTAGTAGAAGTAGTAGTAGAAGTAGAGATTATGGCAGAAGCAATAGTAGCAGTAGTCGTAGCACTGATAACAATAACAATATTAATGATAGCAGTTGCAGTAGTAACCGTACATATAATCATCGTCGTAGTAACAATAGTCGTAGTGGCGGCAATAGTAGTCGTAGTAATAGGAGAAGCAGTCGTACGTATCGGAAAAAAAAAAAAAAAACAAAAAAAAACAATAGTAGTAGGCGTCATCGTAATGGAAAGGTGAATATCGGATTCGGCGTGGTAGGTCGTACTAGCAGTGGTACATGTGGTTGTAATTGCACTAATAGCACTAGTAATTGCATTCGCAGAAGAAAAAGTCATTGTCGTAGTAGTAAACCGGATAATGGTAGAAATTACAATCCAAATCATAATGCTCGCCATGCTAGTAGTAGTAGTAGTAGTAGTAGTAGTAGTAGTAGTAGAAGTACTAGTAGAAGTACTAGTAATAGTAGTAGCCGTGGCCGAAGTAGTCGTAGTACTCGCAGTAGTAGTTGCAGTCGTAGAGTAGGCAGAGATTACCGGTCGTCGTCGACATGGTCGATGTAGCAGCAGAAGTTGTGGTAGTATCCGACGTAGTCGTAGCACTCGCGCTGGAAGTAAAAGTAGTAGTAGCGATAAGAGTAGCAGTCGCCGTCGTAATAGAAGGCCTGGTCGTTGCAATCGCAACTTGGATTATAATAGTTGCTGTCGTATTTGTAGCAGTCATGAAACAAGGAGCCGTAGTCGAAGCAATAGTAACAGTAGTAATACCAGTAATAGCAGTCGATGTATAAGTCTGGGTAGGAGTAGACGCTATGCTAGCACAGTGGTAGTGATAGGGGTACTAATAATAACCACAGAAATCGGGACGCAAAACAAAACGAATCGTAATAATAGTCGTAATATCCGTAGTGGCGGCAGGAGTAGCAAGAGTGACCGTACTCATACCAATGGTAGTAGCACTGGTAGTAACAGCAGTAGCACGGGTAGTAGTGGTCGTAGAGGTAGAAGTAGTAATAAACGTAGTCGTAGCAGCAGTAGTAGTAGTGGTAATTGTAGTACGAATGAACGACTGTGAATGGAAAATTTCAAAGTAAGAGTGAAGCTGAAGTACAAGTAGTCGGACCAACCGTCGTAGCATTGGAAGTCGTGCACTTAGTAATGGAGGTAGTGGTCACGATCATACCACCCGTCGTAATAACAATAGTGGCCGTAGTAGTAAGAATCCGAGTAGCACGGCTACTACAACCGCAAAACAAACACAAACGTAACCATCGTAGTAGTCGTAGTCGTAGTCGTAGTAGTAGTAGTAGTACAAGTAGTAGAAGGAGTAGTCGTAGCAGTGCTAGTAGTCGTAGCAGTCGTAGTCTCGCAGCGTCGTCATGTGAGCATTAGTAGTAGTAGTAGTAGTAGTAGTAGTAGTAGTAGTACTAGTAGTAATAGTACTAGAAATACTAGTGGTAGTGGTAGTGGTAATTGTAGTAGTACTCGTAGAAAGAGTGGGAGAAGAAGAAGTAGTGG